AAAACCCACTTGGACACTGGACTTGTTTCTGCTGAGAAAGTTTAAACCACATGGTGGGCTAGAGAGTAGACAGAGCCTGGAAGACAGAAGGCAATCTAGAGACTCCAAATCCCTGGATGTAAAGATCTCGGTGTTTTAAACTTTTATAGAAGAGTGAAAAAAATGGAGCAGTGGTAAACGCAGACTGAGTACCCGCCCTTTCAGGTGTTTAAAGTCCCAGGTGACATTGAGGGCATGGGTCTTTCTCAAAGCTCTTTCCAAAGTTTCTGTGGAACCTGAATGAATCTGACCTCTTCTAACTGAAATAACAGTCTGTTTGTGTCCCCAGGCCAAGCCATTGTGAAAAGATAGGGCATCATTCTTTTTTAATCAAATGAGTGAATAAACACCTAAATAAAAGTATTCATAACATCACTTTAAAAAAAATAATTCAAACCTCAAAGCTGGGTTCTTTTCTCTCTCTCTTTTACTTTCCTTTTTATTCTGCCTTCTCTTGTTCCCTGTCTTAAGTGTGTGGTGATAAAAGAATTAACTTTCTAGTTCAAGACCGCTCAGCTGAAGGCCACGCACACCGCCTGCTACTCCGTGGCCCCAGTCCGCATGCCCCAGCGGGCTTCCATTCCCAAGTGCCTGGTCCCGGTCAGTTCCACCTGTCCTCAGTCCCAGGCGTGAGACCAGAGCAGGTGACTTTCTCTTGCGGCCCCTGGAGTTGCCAACACCTTCTGGCCAGAGATTGGAGAGAGAGAGAGAGAGAGAGAGAGAGAGAGAGAGAGAGAGAGAGAGAGAGAAACTTGACAAGTTGGCCGAGCTGCTTTCTCTGGCCCCAAACGCACCAGCCTGGCCTTCTGCTGAAATTCGTTTCCTGGGGGGCACCGCATGGGTTCTAAGGCTTCCTTGATTTCTTCTCAGGGAAGCAAGCTTGCTGAAAGTAATGACTGGAAAAGCCAGAGCTAGAGGCTGCTTGAGTTTGCTTGTGAGGGGAGATGTTTTGTTGTAGTTTGGGGGGTGCCCTCTCCCGCAGAAGCAAGGAGCTGGAGAAGGGAGCTGGAAGGAACATGGGCTATTGTAAACGAAGAGGCAGATCAATATACTTCTTTTCCATCTATGTTCCTTTAATAAATGATAGAACCAGCAAAGAACCGATTTTCAATACATGACATGCAACCGGAAATTTTCCTTTCCTTTCGTCGCATTATAATTGAGCCGGCCCCACAGTACCTTTGGAAGAAAGTTTGAGTTCTTTGTGGAGGTATTTTTTTGACCTATTGTCTTTGTGCAGTGAACTTTACAGAGTGCTATTGAATCCCAACCTATATTTGCCCGGCTACCAGCAAGATTAATTTAATCATTGTAATGCAATTATTAATACTGTTTACCCAACGCTGGGTTTCAGGTTGGCTGTTAAGAAATTAAACTCTCGCTGGGTGACCAGAGGTAGGCAGGGGTTTCTTCATGTTGAAATGAAACAGCCGTCTCTATTTAGTCTCAGAGTTCCAGCTTTCGGCCAGGGGCTCAATTAGCCAAAATGGAAACAATTTTCATTCATTGCAATAACTCACTGTTCTGGAGATCGCTTTCAAAATATACACTTTATTATTATACGCTGACCTCGGTGGGGTGGAGTGGCAATAAAAGAAAGAGACAGGGAGATCTATCTAGCCCCCTTGGGCTATAATTATTAGAAATTAATTGGGTTCAGGACCCTGGGTAGCCTAGCTAAATTAATAGCTTGTCTAGTGGTTTAAATCCGAATTTTCAGTCCACAGGAGAGAAAGAGAGAGCGTCACAGACATGAAATGCAGACCCAGGGGACGCCTGAGTTTACTTGCAAGACACTCATCTATTAAACAGTGTCCAGAATACATTGGAGTTAGGAAAAGGGGGCTGGAGTGGGAGGGGGCGGGGGCGACGAGAAAAAGGGAAAGAGCAAGGCCGGGAGGGAGGCTGCGACTGAGCGAAAAGGTCTCGAGTTGATTTTATTCGATTTTTCTTGTCTGCATTGTTTTCGGGAGGGGTTGCATTTAGGGGTTAAAATAAAAAATAAAGATCCCGTGTACTCGGAGCTGTCGTGCCAGAGTAAAAGTGAAAAGGGAGCCTTAGGCAAAAGGAAATTACTGCGAGCCCGCGTGACCTTTCAGGGAGGTAATCAATCAAGTGATCAACAGGGATATTTATCATCGCTATATAGGACGACTTCGCCCCGCACGGGCGGGGTGGGGGGTGGAGGGGAGCGGGAGAGGGTGGAGACACGCGCGCACTCACACACTCGGGAAAGTTTGAACAAACCCGAGGAGCCTCGAGACAGAACACCTAGGCTTCGGGAATGTTCATACTGCAAATTCTAACTGACATCCTAGTAGAAACGCGCGCGGGTACCCGACTGCCTGGCCGGGGCGCACATGCCGGTCGCAACCCGCGGCGCTGAGGTGTTAACTTGCAACTCTACGCCGCGCTTGGCCTTGAACGCCGGGGAATCGCGCTTTGCCCGCCCGCGAGGGCG